TTTTTTACATTTTATTTTTATATATGCTGAAATGTAATAATCTGAGCTTGCAAAAGCACTAGGGATATATTCTATTACTGAATATAGCTGTAGAATTTATTTCTCAATACTGGTATTGATGCCAGTCTAGGAATAACTAGCTGAAGTCAGCAAATAAAAGCATCTTTGAAAAGAGAGATGGTTTCTGGTTTCAGATCACCATTGACAAAGAAGCTTTTACCTATCCCTTCACTTTCCTGAGAATTATAAAATACTGATAAGCAGTTTTAATCATTTGTCTTACTACTCAGCCCATCTTAGGACTTCTTTCTTGCTCCTAAGGATTAATATTTGGTTTAGGATCTAAAGTTTCTCAGGGATGTCTCTTTAAACTTCACTATTTATAAAAAGTTGTCTAAGCTTTTTTTTTCTTCTCCTTTCTCTCGTATAATTACTTACTTTGGATACAGATGCTGCAGTAAAACAAGTGAGATTGAACACACTTCAGAATATTAAAGGCAGAACATTTTCTTTTAATGTCTTGATTGCTGTCTTCCAGCTACTTAATTTTGAACTTAAGCTGCTTCCAGTTAGCCAGTTGTGTAAGGAAGAGGCACCAAAAGTACTACTAATTAGATTTCATTTATCTACTCCATCATTTTCTTTGATTTCCTTTGACTCAGATAAGATAGGCACTTTTCATTTTCAAATATACCTTATGACTAGGATCTGATAAGTCTAATTATTCTATAGCTACTATGCCCTTCCATTCGCACCTAATTCTGAAGCATTTTTGTGTCTGGTTACTTAGTTTCCGTTGTAAACCAACTTTTAGTTGGGTCGAGATCAAGACAATCCAGGCAGGGAGACAAGATATTCCACTGCCTAGACAGCAAGAAACACAGTTCTGTTCTTTTTCCTGTGAGAAGAGTGGTAGTTAAAGCAGGGAAAGTAAAAGAAGAGTAATGGTTTGGACCTCACAGCTCTCCTCCAGCTGCGCATCATAATGACAAAAGAACTAGAAAGATGGTCCTGCTTCTGTATTAATCACCTAGGAGGTAGGTAAACTTGACTCTCCATTTCAATGATCTACCATTTAGAAATAAGTAGTGCAGTGCCGAAATGTACTGAACTGGTGGCATTACATAATGTTGACAAGCTTCTTATCTGCTGAAGACTTATCAGGGTAACTATGCAATTCCCTCAGGAGACAACCCCTCACCCTTTTTCCAGATGGCTCTATACATTCTCTAATATGCCCTAGGGCTGCAATGAATTAAATGCCAAAATATTATGCATAAGTTTGCTCAAGGAATTCCTCTTCTGTTCATCAGAGATGGTTAATTGACCAAGAAATTTCAGCTGTATATCAAAATTGTTCATACTAAAAATACTTTAATAATAATTGAATTTAACTAAAAATTTACATTACAAAATAGTAATTTTATTTTGTTTGTTTGTTTGTTTACAAGGTTAGTTAACCTTTGGTTTGAAACAATCCTAAGTGCTTTAAAACTATAATCTGAGTTTACAAAAATTCTTCATTAAGATCATTAAAAGAACTCACAATGTACAGACTGATTTCTTAGAGATATTTTCGGTAACAATCTATTTTTAATGGGCATGATATTATCATGTTATTACATAAACTTATGGGTGTCTTTGCTTTGGCAGCAGGAGGTTGTGATGAATCCCACTGAATTTATGGAAGCTTTCAAGATCACTCAGAGGAAGCAGGAAGTGCCTTAAAGATCTGCCTACTACTTTTGTATTTTTGGAGGGCATTATTTCATGTATCAGTTACCTTTACTGGGTTCAGAGCAGATACACTTAGATACTACTGCATTTTACTGTTCCCTCCTTCAAAAATCTCTTCTACTTTTGAACTGTTTGAACTGTAGCTAAGAGAAGCACCAACATATCCAGAACACTTCTTACATGTCATAGTCTTGGAATTACGTTGAAGATTTCCATTCTGCTGCAATTTAACAACCATTTATCTGGTTAAACACATCACATCTAGAACATTTTCTAATATATCACAGCAGTCATCTTACTTTCTTACATGGCTCCATAAGGGAACAGGGAGGAAAACATCTCTAGATGGAAGTGTAAGAAGCCAAAAGCAGACAAGTGTACATAGCTAGGAGCAGACACTGTTACACTGAGCTGCCTCTAGTAAGGAAACTTTTCCATACCTGCTATACTATAATATAAATATATTAATGAATTACTGCCTTCATAACCCTATCACACCACCTTCTTGAGGGTCACTGATGCTGTATCACTGTGATGTAGGTACTCAGCTTTAGCACAAGCCTTTCACTGTATCTCCTGCAGAACTGGCTGCTTAGTGTCAGTCTCAGATTCATCAGTATTACATAGATCAAAGCAAAGCAGCTTTAACAGGTAGATCAAAGCAAAATAGCAGAACAGATTCTGGACAAGTACCCCAGTGCTTTCACTAAAGGGGTCCAGGAAATTTCCAGGCAGATGGAGGCAAATATACTTACCTTACAGCAATTCAATTTTCCTAATGAGGCTGCTGCAACAACATCAACAGAGCAGCCCAGCTGGTTGCAATACCCCATCATCTATGATTAGGAACACACAAACACATTCCTCTTGGTCTGCAGACTCTCCTTCACTGTCATACAGCCTTCTAGGACTTCACATAGTAAGTACAGCACATTGTCTCCAACATAACTACTGTAGTTTCATATTTTCTTTATTCCTCTTTACTGTTAAGTAAATAAATCCTGTACTGTAAGCTGAATTTTCCTTTAAAAGATCTAATTATATGAAAATTTTTAGAGAATATTGGCAAAGCTGTTTTCATAGAGTAGAATAAATCAATATTGTTCATTTGTGCACTTCACTGAGGGGAATTTTACTACTGTTAGTTGCACATGAACAGTCAGTGACTTAAATAAGGGGGGAGGAGGGTTAGTGCATTGCTGTACATATATGTGGCTGACAAGTTTGTTACTTCTTCCTCTTCAAAGTCTCAAGGAACCACTATTATTCCACTGTAGCCTGTCATTCCCTCCAAGGCCCTCAGAAAAGCTCTCAGCATTTTTTATGAACTCAGAACTTGCCTTTAGCATAGAATAAGGATGAATATGAATTAAACACAGTATTTTCCTAAACTGCACTAAACACACTGTATCTGATGAATGGGTAGCAGACCTATCAGCTGGACATTTCACTGAAATACTGTTATTATGTCCTCATAAAATAATTCTTATAGTAAATTAGCTCATTAGAGAGACATTCAGGAACCTTTCATCAGTTTATTCCCATTTATTATTTATACTAGATTTATAAAACATATAAGCCATATATAACCTGCATCTTTTATAATATATTGACATTCTTTACAGCAAAATATTTAGGAGGTAAAATGCATTCTCTACATTATTCCTATCTATCAGTATTCCCCAACTCTATTCATCTCATTTTTTAACACTAATATAATGATAAAATAATACATAACTCTTCATTTAGAAGTATCTGGCTGGATAGATTTTTTGAAGCAAACTAGGTTTAGCCTAGGACTTCTAGGTTGCTACCAGAAGGTGGAGGGTGCACTGCTGTCCTTATATATGAACACACTGAATTTTCCCTGTATCAGAAATTTCCAACCCCAGAAATCCCAAGTAGCTCAGGCTGATTACAGTTTGTTTGTTGTGCTTGACACTACAGGATAAATGAAAAGCTTTCTTGGAAGCATACCCATTCCCCCTGGCATAGCATTCATTTAATGATGTTCACAGTTATCTTTACAGCAAAGATACTGGCTTATTATGAGCTATCAGTGAGCATGTGGTGCCATGTCTCTCGCAAGAAATTGCCAAAATTGATCGAGACTGCAATGAAAGCAAGCTGTGTAAATTAGCTGTGTGGGGAGTTGCATAAAAGTCACAGTGCATGCTAGGAATTAAGTTGGGGACATTCAGTCTGTTCTATATAGCGCATATCAGTATGCAGTCACAGAGTAAAAAAAGAATATAGGGTTTTCACATAGATGTGTCCATGGCAACTATTTTCACTTGTCTCCAAAGATGTTTCCAGCACAAAGGACTCCACTCAGATAAAAATCATGCTTGGAAAGAAGACCAACCAAGAATCTTTGTTCAACTTACATTGTCTTGACAGAGGCATGGGACTTCTTTTTTTCACAAACCAATTACTAGTCCTTTTGGTGGCAGAAGAAAATGAGGGGGAGTTTTCATATACACAATGTATATAAAAAGAGTTTAAGATTATTGTAAATTGATATCACATTAGAATTGTAGCATTCTGTAACCATTTTCCACAGTGTTATGAGTTATGGGAGAGTTATGAGAGACGGTTAAATATAATCTATGAACATCAAGAGTTGAAGTAATTAACAGGTACATTTTGGAACACTTAACTGGAGCACACACACAAAAATACCAGAGCACAAACGTGATGACTCAGAACTACATTAGTATTTCCCTGTCTGACACAGCCCTGTCTGACACACCACTGTTGAAACAGATCTCCCCAGAAGCAATAAGACATGCACCAAGAATGCAAGAATGCACACTCTGTAAAACTATAATCATTAGATTACAAGATAATTAAATGTTTAATGACAGTATGAGGAATAAATCACACTGCTTGCTTGTTCGATTAAGATGGTCACTGCACAGATTTATTCTGTGGATCACAATATTAAAGGAAACTAAATACCTGCTTCTGAAACAGTACACCTATTAGAAAGTCCTACCATATCATATACCATGCCATGCAGTAAGTCTTTCAGTCTTTTAAAAATAATGTTAATTTTTGCCCCAGTGTAGCAACTTTTCAGGACTCTTCTGAGTATTTGTTATCATGGAATGACCTATCTCCCATTTCAACACTGCTTCCATTGAAAAACAAGTACCACATTTTCCACTGAAGCTTGACATTATCTTTAATCTTTACTGCATGAATATTTCATTATTTGTTTTAACTTTACCAGTTAACTTTTGCCAGTTCTTACCTTTTTTCTAAGCTTTCTGACTTCTGAAGCAGATCTATTTGCTGATTGAGCTGTCTCTCCATTCCCTACAGGCTCTCTGTATATTTGTAATATTCCTCTCTTGAGTAGCCATTCACCCACTAGGTTTGAAACCATTTCCTGCAAGAAATTCAAAAGTTTGTAATGACAACTCTGGAAACATATGCATTTTTAATTAATAACAAAAATACTCAAAAACATCAGGCCTCATCGACACTGAAAGGCTTGAGCTCTTCAGCACAGCTGAATTCTCTGACAAGCTCCCTTAATTTCTTAAAGCTTGCCCATTTGAAATAATTAAAAATGTAATTAATAACCCATTCGGTTTATGTTTCTATTAAACTTAAACTGAATTAAATCAGACGCACTCAATCCAGAATTATTTCCTATGATCAGCTCTTAGTATTTTATCTCTTACCATTCAGGATGCAACATTATACACCTTGTTCTTGGTTCAAGGGCTGCTCTTGCCTGTCAGTCTCCTCTGGCATAGTCAGATACCCATAGGCATACACCATACTAGTAATATTTTGTCTCCAAGGTATACAAAAGAAAATGAAGTGTCCCTCAGTGAAACAGCTGTGCTCAGATTCATTTTTTTTTTTTAATTTTTTTTTCAGTAATGTTAAATCCATAACCAAAATCTAGTTCTGGGGCTTTATAATAGCAATATCTCAACAGAAAGCCTACAGCATGTCTCAGAATTTTATTATACAGTAAAATTGAGCTTGTGGTTACAGTTTTTCAGACTCCCTCTACACTTCAGCATATTTAGTGTCAAAATGAGTGAAATAGTCTTGAATATTCTTGGTCACAAAATACAGCAAACAAAATATACCTGTGGGATTTCTTTTCTTGTTGTTGCTCTAGCTCATTTATAGTTAAATAGATCAAATGCATTCTGACCTTTTGGTCTGCTGTTTGTCAGTTGTGACTTCTGAGTCATATACTAGAGGCAAAATATTCAGCGGTAATCAGTAATTAACTGCCACCAAAGCAGAAACGTGGAACCTCCCATTCACTTGTTTAAGCAAACACTCATATTAAAGCAAAATTCTTTCATTTGAAATTCAGTGTAAGTAGATCACAATTCAATAAGCAAAATGAGAGAGAGAGAGAACAAAGATAACAGTCTTTCTCCATACATCAAGTTGTATACTTTTACGGACAGCAAAACGTGTAACCAGATATATCAGTGCTTCTGTGGCTTTGCTAGCAGTTGAGGATCTGTTCCTTCATTCATGAAACTGTCTCCAGCTACTAGTAGTAGTTTCCACGGGTCTTGGCAGGATCTTTTATTGTCACCAATGTGCTTTTGTACCAGTTACTCCAGGTAAAGGCATAGCAGATAACCAAGCAGTTTAGTGAATTATGAACTTTTTACATGTAAATTAACAGTCAAGGTTTAATAAATACAAGACAACAGTGAGGATTAATGAAGTTAGACAACAGGAAAAATTCTCAGTTACAAAAAGATGGCACAGTGCATCCAAACGTCTTAGAACAATAATTTTTCTTCCCCTGCAGAGAATATAAAACAACTTTCCACGGTACTAGAGTATTGTGCATGTCTGTCATTTAGAATCACAGGTCCTTTAAACTTACTATAAATTTTTGAGCATCCAGCAGGAACATCAACAGGAAAACTACATGTCTCTGAGCTACTTTCACTATATTTTATCTGGGAAATGAACAAAATTACTCTTCAAGTGGATCAAATACATTTTCCCTATCATTCAGGGGAAACATTCAGACAAACTCACACATATTAACCTACTGTATTTGATTCCCATGGACTAAAATAGTCTCTTGATATTTCAGAAGGTCTGGTGGAAATAAAGTACCATCACTAACACACAGTCGCATAGCATTGCTTTGTACTTGTTCTCCAGTTCTTCCATACAAAGTGCTAGGGCAAGTATTAGACTCTTATTTTTCTCGCTCATCAACAGAGTAACAATATTTCATATACTTACATGAAGATAAACACATCCTTTATCAGGCTTATTGTCCTCTTCTTTCATGCTCTCCCTGTTTAGTTACCAGCAAACAGACCCACCAGGTAACTCACTCCGTTTCTGAAAGGAAACTCTGCACCCCTGGAGCAGCTGGTGCAATGGATTAGCTCTAATCTGTACTTCAAGATGGTGGGAGGAGCTTCTAAAGTGAGGAGCCGAAGTATTCAAGTCTCAAGGTTGGTTTAATTCTTTAATGGGCAGTGATTCTTTCTAACTATTAAGTTTAAACCCTAGGAAGTTTGAAAAATTAAGTAACAGCTCAGAATACAGGTGCTTAGTTAAGCATTCTCTTATTACACAGAATCAATACCTTATGTACACCACATCAGTATCAGTAGCAGCAGTAAAGCTTCTTTTGCATGTTTCCATACCATGTTGGTTTTTCACAGGTTGAGCACGAGAGGCTTGAACATTTTTCTAAGCCTATTTAATGAAATCCTAAAAGGGCTTTCAGATTTATTCAAACATTTACATTGCTTTGTACATCATCTATTGACCTTTTATATGTTAAGTTTGTCATTTAGCACTCTTAGCCACTTGCAGTTTATCTTTTGTGAAAAAGGGTCTGTAGAGCTGGAGAAAAAGCATCAGAAGAATACCGGGGTTAAACCAAAATAAATAACCTTGCTAGGGCTTAATATTTTCGTGGCTGGGGAAAAAAATTGAGAAGTGTAACACAATAATCCCTAAATATTACAGCACCTACCAGCAGCCTTGAAAGCACAGGTTAAATTCACACAGAGCAAAACCAAGGACTATTAACAACACTCTACTACATATAGTTCCAATATTGAGCACAAAGTTGTGTCCTGTTTGTGTTTGAATGTTTACAGCTGTTTTTTCCTAGTTTCTCCTAGATGACTAAGGAAGTAGTTGGCATGGGTAGAGGAAGTCACTGAGGCACAGAAATCTGTTATTAAAAGGTGACATGCTGTTGTGTTTTAACCTCAGCAGGCAGCCAAGTACCATACAGCTGCTCGTTCACTTTCCCCACACCCCTGGTGGGATGAGGAGGAGAATCAAAAAAGGTAAAACCCATGGATTGAGATAACAGTTTAATAATTGAAATAAAGTGAAATATAATACTAATAACAATAATAATGAAAAGATAAATAACCAAGAGAGATACAACTTAACAAAACCCCAAACAGTGATGCACAATACAATTGCTCACCCCATGCTGACCAATGCTCACCCAATCCCTAAGCAATGATTGACTCCTTCCAGCTAACTCTCCCCAGCTTATATACTGAGCATGATGTCATACAGTATGGAATAGCCCCTTGGCCAGTTGGGGTCAGCTGTCCTGGCTATATCCCTTCCAACTTCATGTGCCCCTCCTGCCTTCTCACTGGCAGGGCCTGAGAAGCTGAAAAGTCCTTGTGTTAGTATAGGCGCTACTTAGCAACAACTAAAAACGTCAGCGTATTATCAACATTATCTTCCTACTAAATTCAAAACACAGCATTGTACCAGCTACTAGGAACAAAATTATCTATCCCATCCAAAACCAGGACACATGTACATGGGTGTAGCTATTAGAAATTAGTTTACAAAACTTGCGTGGCCCATCTAAATCTCTGAATTTTTCTAAGCTTGCTACAAATTGCATCTTTCATATATAAGAAAACAGAATTAACCAACCTACATTCATTTACCAGCTTCTCTACTGTTCATTAGTAGGAATTCTTTCCTATTAACAGAATTAACTACTGTTCATTAGTCCTACCATTAATAGGAAAAAAAATCTTTTCTGAATCTCTGAGGCAATCTCATGAGTTCTGAAATATGAGATCAGATTAGTATAATATAGTTTTAGCTTACAAAGCCATGAAATACCATAAGTGGTTGAACTTAGTATGGAATATGATAAATTTTATTAATCTTAAGTTTTGAAAGTGCTGTTAGAAGTTTGCTTTGCTCTAAATGGATAGTCAGGAATCAGATGTGATAGAAACAGTACCTTTTATTGGATTTTCAAAACTCCTTTGGTATTTTTGAAAACACCACTGTAAATCCCTAATTTAGTAAATACTCAACTTCAGTCACATGGACAGTCTGAATTATCTTGATGAGAATACACAAATGTTAAATGTACTAAGATGAAAAAGAATACAAAATTGGACTGGAAACCTTGAAACTTCTTAAGATAACACTTGTCCATGTGATAGAATTGTTAATGCAAGGCTTTCAGATGATTAACATAATGAATATTAAAAGTATGCTTTATTTTCATCTAGTTCTCATTACTTTCATAATGAAAAATGTGCATGTACATGCATTTGCGGGTACAATAATATGCTAGATTGCATGCCTTAAGGACAGATAAAAAGATAGAATGTGTATTTGTACTGAACTTGTCCAGTATGAGGTCAAATCAGATGGTCTGAATGCAGGAGCAAATCCAACAAGGAAGGCAGCAATGGAAAACAAACCAAGAATTGCTTAAGGAAAAATGAACTAAAGGAAATGAACAAACACATCAGAGTGAGTGAAAGCACTGAAAAAAAAAAAGACCAATGGTAATACAGTTATCTGTTCGTATGTCCAGGAACATAGTTGATTAAGACAGAAAACTTCTTAGTATCTGTTATTTCAAATGAGATTTAAAGTTAATTGTTAACCACCACTTCACCCCCTGCAAGTCAATACTAAACAGCCTGTTGTATAGCTTGTCTCCTCTGCCTTATTTAGGACTTAAGTTGCCTTTTTATACTGACTGTTTTTTATTGGATTGTTGGTTTTTATTCTGCTTTGCATACCCAAGCAAGATCTTCTAAACCTATTTGCATTTAATTGTAAGACCACAAGTAAGTAAAGCTTAAATTTTTCTTAATTAAACTCCAAACAACAAATCATCATTAGTTAGACACCCTGCAGGGACAGAGATTAGAAGTACAGAGACAAACCTTAAAATCTGGTTTTGCGCCTGCAATGCAATATTTACAGAACTATCAGAACAGTTTGTGTATTTGTTAAAGAGGAAAGAATATGTTAACAAATAATGTAGTAGTAAATACTTAGTGCAGTTCCATGTTCTCTTCCCCCAGGAAAAAAAAATGCCTTTCTGAAAGCAGCAGAAATCACCAAAAGTTGTTATAT